TACATAGTGAGACCCTCAAAAAATAGAACAAAACAGAACAAAATAAATTTGTGATGCTCCTGCCTTGGCCTTTGGAGTAGCTGGGATTATAAATATGGGCCACTGCACCTGGCTACATTTTATTTCTTTTTGGCGATGGGGTACTGTGAAGCAAACTCAGGACCATGCACTTGCCAGGCAGGCACTGTGCCACTGAGCTATATTCCTGGCCCCACATTTTATTTCTTTATTCTCTCTCTATTATAATATAAGCCCTTTACAAACAGATTTTAGCTGGGCGTGGTGGCACATGCCTGTAATTCCAGCACTTCAGAGGCTGAGGCAGGAGGATTGTTGCAAGTCCGAGGCCAGCCTGGGCTACAAAGTGAGCTGAAGGCCAGCCTGAACTGCATAGCAAGACCCTATCTCTCAAAGACCAAAAAAAAAAGATTTTAGTCCATTTTGATAATTGTGATTTATGTGGTTCTAGAACAAAACCTGGTAATATATTAAGCACCCAGTAATTATTTGTTGCGTGGAACTACTAAATATTCAAGATAGTATCGTGGAAAAATTAGGAATCCTGATTTCCAGATCTGATTCAGTAGCTTTGTGCCTTAATCTTTGTAAGTCCTAGTCTTAGCATCTGAGGTAAGCAAGAGATTTTGGTATAATTTGTTTTTAATGCAAATCAAAATTTCATAACTAAAGAAACTCTTGGAGACCATCTTTCATTGTAAAAGTAAGGCCATTTCATTACCAAGGTAAACATTCAGAACAGCGTCTGTTACCACTGGGAATGATGGATGTGTTATGTGATAGAACCTGTGTTGGTATGTGTTGGTTTGTTGAACCATGTGGGGGCTGTAGGACTTGAGATTATATGGTCAGCAGGCCAAAAGGAAGATCTTATCTTTGAGGTGCTATTTGAAGATCAATAATTTATCAGAGGGCCGGGGATATAGCTCAGCAGTACAGTGCCTGCTTGGCAAGCACGAGGTCCTGAGTTTGATTCCCGGTATCAAAAAAAAAAAAAAAAAAAAAAGAATTTATCGGAATAAAACAAACACTTTACTTTGAAGTTTGCTGTTTTTTTGTCTAATATTTAGGAAATAGCTTATTTCCCGTGTCGTCTTACTCCCTGTGCCTTCTTTTTTCTTTTTTTTTTTTCTTTTAAAGAGTAAAAGAAGGATAACATAATAATAGGGGGGACTTAGCAAATTACAGACAAAATGGTAGGAAATTATCAATGGTTATTGTTTTACATATTGTTATCT